GTAATAAAAATTATTGATTTTTTATTATCATAAAAAATTGTATAATTTCCTTTTAGGATTTAGAGTTATTGAGATTACAAATAAAATTAAATATTATGGTAATATTGAAGTTATATTGAAGTTATATGAAATAGAATTGGATCGGAGTAAAAAAATTGAAAAAAAAGTGCGAATCCATAAAGGAAACATATATGAATCCAATACAAGGAAAAACCTAGGATATGGTCATATAGAGAAAAGCAATAGGAACATAAATTAGTATAAAAGGAAGATAAAATCGTATAAAGTGTAATTAGCTTGTAAAAAGGGGAAAAAATTTTGTTTGCTTATAGAAAGTAGTAAGGTGAAGAGATAGGATATTGCTCTATTTCTAAACTATATCAATGGCTTGTGGAGACAAGAAAATTAGAGGTTTATAGTCTCATTTACAAGTAAATTACTTTGATGTTTACTCTTCCTGTTTCTATAACAATAACAGAAAAAGTATTTTCTACAATGAAAATTGTGAAGACGAGACTTCGTAGCAAAATGAAAGATGAATTTCTCTCAAACTCTTTAATTGTTTATATTGAAAATGAAATAGTTCAGACATTTAGTATATACAATATTATAAATAGATTTTGTAACATGAAGATTCATTAAATATTATTTTAATATATGATATGGAAGTAAGTTTTCAAAATTAGAATACATTATTTTAAGACTTGAAAAGCCGGCCTCCTCTAACTAAAATTCCTGGCTTCGCTCCTGATTAACAACTTATTGGTTTGAGTAGAAAGAACTTAAAATCCTTTAAGATTTAGTTTGGATCTTGTGAATGGAGAAATAAATACTGATATAGCTTCTTTTTTATGGGGCTCGACCCGATTTGACTTTGGATTAGTTAGGGAATGTGACTTTCGAATGTCAAGGGAGTAGTAAAAAGAATCTATAATGATTCACTAGTGAAGTATCTTAAATAAAAAAATTAATCACATTATGAAAAATATATTACATAAAACTTAGATATGTAAACTACGCAAGTGTTATATTTAATTACACATGTTTCTTGTTATGTTGTGATGTGATTTTTTTACTTTGCCCTCATACATAGGTTTAATATGATTCTCAAAACCTGTTAGATGACTTAATATGTTGCCTTAAATATAGACTTGATAAACATTTTCTCTCTTTATTAAATGACTTAATTCGTTGCCTTAAATATAAACTGGATATAAAATTTTCTCTTTATTAAATTTCAGGCCTTATTAAGTGAGTTTACAATGAGTTTAATAAGAATGTTAAGAATGTAACTTGTTATGATACTATGTGAAAACAGGTTGGGTTACGCCAGGAACATTGGCCATACCAATAGTCTTGTTGCTAAGTTATGGGCTATTGGGAGGGTTTGAGTCTTGCTATTACTAGAAGGTTTACCAAACTCATTGTGGAAATTGATTCAAAAGTTGCATATACTTTTCTGACTTCAGGCAACAATTAATATATATCATTCACTTTCTGTTGTTGTTTATAATTGCAGGGGTCTCCTAAACCAGTTCCCTGAAGTTCGGCTGGCTCATATCTATCGTGAAGCCAATATGGTGGCTGACTATATGGCTAAGATGGGGACTACTTTGCCTACCTGTGTAGCTATTTTGGAACAACGCATAATGATATGTATCCAATTGTGTCTGTGGATGTAATCAGGAATCAAATTCCCAGGACTATTGCTAGCTATTATCTAATTTATTGTCTCATTTCCTTTTATCCAAGGCAAAACCCTCAAAATCCACCTCTAAAATATAAGGGTAAAAATAAATCCACCTCTAAAAGGAAGAGATATGTTACCCCTCAAAATCATTGATTGAACAAATCACCTATTATTTAACGTATGGCTCCATTATATGTTAATTTTGTATTATAAACATGCTTAGGTGGCAAATATATTTTTGATATCACATATTAAATAATAAGTGATTTGTTTTGATTGATAATTAAAAAAAATAATTTATCTTTATTTTAGGAGTAAATATGTCTTTACCCTTTTATTTGAGGAGTGAATTTAGAGGTTTTACCTTTACAAAAAATTGTAAAAAACATGTGAATTTTAATATAAAAATTGCATTTAGTTTAAAATTATTTGATAATAAATAAAGTAACTTTCTTTATTTTAAGTTGCATATATTTTTTAGATATTAATGTTTATCGGTTAGTTCTATAAAACAATTCAGTAAAAATCACTCACAATTATATTATTTTAATAAAATATCACAATAAAAAAAACTAAAATAACCTCATTTATACTTTACAAATTAAATATTTTAATATTTTTAATACATATTAATGCAAATGATCGTAATCTTAAGATATTTTTATATTTAATTTCTTTACAAATATAACTAATATAGATTTTTTCCTATTTCTTATCTTGTTTTGACTTGTGATTAGCCCTGGGCATTTGAAACCGAAACCGACGGATTACCCGAAAATTGAACCGAAAAAATGAATTTGATTCGGTTTAAATGGTTTTTGATTTTTATTATTTTGGTTTTTATATTAACCGAATAACTTTGGTTCGATTTTGGTTGAATTTTTTAAAAATCAAAAACCAAAAATAAAACCAAAATTAAGATAAAATAGATAAAATATAATAAAATATGATAAAATATAACAAAATATGATAAAATATGTAATAAAATATAATTTATTATTAG